GAGGCCTATGTGGCTGTGGCTGGTCAGAAGTTCTATGGAGTTTATTATGTGTATGAGTGTATTGCCTGCATGGAGGTAGGTGTACCCATGTTGTGCAGTGTCCTCAGAGGTCAGAAGAGGACGTCACATCCCTTGGAACTGGAGTTTGGGACAGTTGTTAGCCGCCATGTGGGTGCTGGGAATCGAACCCATGCTGGGGATGCAAAATCAGTCTATGTAGAAGGAGCAGCTCTGTTCCCTGCAGGACTGAGATCATGTGCTGCCTGTGTGGTGTGTGTGGTGATTCAGTCACGAGCCTCAGGCAGGCCTGAAGTAACTGCAGAGGAAGCGGACACTGTTTGAAGGCGGGGCCAGAGAGGGTGATGAGGGAGATGCTCTGTCAGCAGGAGGGTCAGGAGGGCAAAGGCATGAGGATGAGACTTAGCTTGATGGGGGATGGGAGGAATTAGAGAAAGCAGCCTCCTGTGAGATGGATGTAGTGAGCTCCGTGTGTGTGAAAGCTGGGCTGTGTTGGGAGATCTCTGTACTCTGCAGCTTGCTTCCTCTCCCACTGATCCTCTCTAGTCCCTTTGTCTGCTCATCAGTAAGATGAGGGTTATCACTACCTGCTCCACGATGACTTTACAGATGAGTCTAAAAATGAAGTGAAACTGTATGTGCTTTGCAGATGCGAAGGGGCCTGTGGCATTGAGCAGTGATGTGTTCACAGGGCAACTTTGACTTTAGCAGGACCAGGACAGTGAAAAGTGCCAACAGCAAGGGGCTGAGAGTGGCCGACAGAGTCTACCCAGGCAGTAGGACCTGAGATTTCACATCTTATGGGGGAGTTCATTTGGGTCTGACACCAAATAATGTGTTTTCATTTTGTTTCTCTGGCCAGAAAGATTTGGGCACAGGAAACGTAGGTGTCGAGTTGCTTTAGTTTTGTGCTCCAGTGTTGACTGGCATTCCTCTGTTTTCACCTGCTAAACGGAAGACAGCACGCCTTGCCTACCTCAGGCCCGTTATGTATCAGACAGGACTGAGCTGAGCTGGAGCCCTTCTTCAGTGAGTGTACTGTGTTAATGGAGTCAGGCCAGAGAAGACACATTTGGTGATGAACCCAGCTCGGCCTCAGCAGATCCAAGCCCAGACCTCTTGATTTAAAGATCCACGTGTAAACAGCACAGAATTTGTTTCTTCCCGCTTAGATCTGGCAACTGAGGCAGACCACTCCCAGAGTAGAATAGAGGCCACGCTTGGAAGCTGAAGCCCCACCAGTTCCAGACCTTGACAAAGCCACATGTTATCCAGGGCGTCTCCGAGCCCACCCATTGTGAGGCTACCAGGTGCCTGCCCTAGGTCTTTCAGTCCCAGGTCTGAAGAGTGGGTGTCCTCCAGTTTCCAGGGGTCAGAGGGCTCTATTCCCCGCTCTGTCCTTGGGGCCTGCCTCTGGCAGAGGTTGCAGTCCAGCTCTTACATTGGTGCACATGCTAGGTGCAGCTTTGATAGGCAGGCACCGTCTGGAGCCTTGCTCAGCCATAGCACGGACTTCTGGCCTTGGAGAGAATTGTACTTTAGAGCCATCCATTTTGGGGACTTATTTCCACAGAAACCTAGTACAGCCAGCAAGGAAGGGGTATGAGACGGCTGGATGCCTTGGTACCTGAGCAGCTGAAGTAGAGAGCAGGTTTCATCTGACTGGGGGACATAGGAGGGCAGGCAGCTGTAAAGTGGTAGACTCTAGACCTTTCTAAAAGGGCAGTAGCCAAGTGCTGCCTACAGTGCCTTGGGAACATGAGCTGCCTCTTGTTCATCAAGACTCCAGCAAGGCTGCCGTGGGGCCTTTGTTGTGCAGCAAAACTCACTGACCCAGAAAACAAGAGGGATTTGAATGGCCCTGTTTGCCAGCTCCTGGCCTGTCTTGGACTTTATTCCTAGGAACCAGCCTGAAGATTTCATTAGAAGTCAAAGAGTTGCTCCTTCTTTTTTCTTCTTCCTTTTTTAAAGAAACACCAGGCTGCGACTGGTGTCCCTGCCTTCCATAATGACTGGGGTGACAAGAGTCCTTGAGCAGAGACTGAGTTTTAACTGATCAATGGCATTTGGGGGTTGGAAAATTTGCTCCAGAGCCAGCTAATTTATAATGTCATATGGGCCAGACTGGAAGACCCAGGAGGATAGGCTGTCTGTCTCTTGACTTTCTGTCTCGTCTTTTTGTAAGAGGAAAAGAGAATATACCGTACCACATTGGCTGGTGATTGCTCCAGCCCTGCTAGACCCCCGGGAGACTGGGGCTGGTCCTTTTTACCCAAACTACTCCCTTCCCACCTCCATACCTGTCTTTGGTCTTCTGTCACTCCGGATGCCCACTCCTGCAGTTGCTGAGTTCTGGCTCAAGCTAATTTGCAAAGGACACCTGTTCCTTAATTAGCCCCGGCTCCAGGTCTGCTGCTTCATCTGGGCTCCCACTGCTTCCTGAGCTTGCACCCCATACAAGAGCTGCTGTTTGACAGTCTGTGCATGCTGCCTGCAACCCAGTGGGCCCAGAACTTCCTCAGCAGTGACAATGGTCTGTTTCTGAGTATAGGAAACAGCCCCTTCCCAACCACCATCCAGCCATGGGTGTCACGACTAGAGCTCAACCTTCTAAAAGAGCCCTTCCACCACCAGATCCCACTGAGGCCAGACCTTGTGTCCCCAGGACTGGGTATGGAATACGAAGTGGACGGGCCCTCATTCAGACCCTCTGTCCCCCAGCTGGACTCTCACACGTACTTTTCTCCATCTTTCGGAGGTATATGTGCTTGGTCTCTTCACACAGGGACCCTCAGCACCTATGATTCTACCCATAGGATTTTACAAACCAAGATCTCCTGTGTCCTGGGATTATCACAGATGTGCACTGAGAATGAGGAAGGAGGTGGATGAGGCCCCTGAACAAGGGCACATCTGGAAGGCAGACCCCAGGCATTGGTGGCAGCAGGGTTCTTGCTCTCCTACCCCACCCTGTTCATGTAGTCTAACCTAAAAGCTTGTCCTCGTGCTCTGGATGACATCTGACCTCACACCCCAAGATTTTTGGCTCCCACAAACTGGACACCATGTTTGCAGCTGGAGGCATCACAGGTCAGAGGTGAATCACCCAAACCCCTGAGCACACTGAGAACCTAGTTTCCAGTAGGCCAGAGTCATTTGGAAGCAGAGGGCAAATGGCTTTGTATTTATTCTTCCACCTGCCACCCCCTTCTCCTTCCTTCAAAAGAAATTCACCAGTGGAAAGTTTCCCTGAAGTGGTAATTTTCCTAAATGACTTACTGATGGTGCTGCATACAGACGGGCTCAGCCAGAGGGGGTGACTGCGTGGATTAGTTACTATAGCCCAACTTTGCTGCCTGGGCTAGACAGACATCTGCCCTTGCCTTTGCAGTGTCCCTTCCTCTGCCTTCCACTGTCACCTCAGCTTGACCAAACACTTCTGCATCCCCCTTCTCCTGAACAGAAGCAGGGCTGGTTCTAAGGCCCCCAATAGAAAGCCCTTCTTTCCAGAAATCTCCAGGTCCTGGTGACTGCCAGGACGCCTTCACCCACCCCAGCTAATTAGAGCCTTTCCCTTAGGCGGGACTTGAGTCCTGTCATCCATTCTCACAGTGATAACAGACTTGGATAAGAGGTCACAGCTTCCCCCACTTCCTGCTCTCCTTGTGGAGGGGGTGGAACGGGTTCACGCACACACACATGCGCACCCGCACCCTCCCCCCACTTCTGCGGAGCTCCCTCCTGCATGTCACAGGGACTGTTCCCTGGGCTTGGCAGATGTGGTGGAGCCACCAGCTCACAGGGTCAGAGCCCAAGCCCCCCAGGGTAGGCCCCTCTCCCAGGTTCTTTGGGCTCCTCGGGTGTCCAGCCTGCTGCATCTCTGGTGAGTGTCATTAGCATCAACGTGATGAAATGGCAGTGTAAATGTTAATAAGGTCTGATGCTTCCCTAGCTTCCAAGTGGCAGATTGAAAATGGTACCATCTAAACTCGAATGAGCAGCTTTTAATTGCTCTGCTTCCTGAGCAGCCAATTTGGTGTGGAAAACCCACCCCCTTCCACTCTTGACACACCACCATATTCACCCCGGTTGCTTTTGATAAGAGGATCTGTGTGCCCCACAGACCAGCTATCTAAGGCAGTGTTTAATTTATTTTTAAGTTAAGCATTTTCCCCTGTTCTCCAAAGAAAAGGGAACTAAGGGAGCCAGTACCACAGGCACCCACCTCTCTGAGCAGTTTACCTCCCACCCCTGATTTCTTCACCCCCAGGTTTTCTGTATAGATGAGGATGACCGTAACCTCCTGATCCTCCTGCCTCCACCTCCTGAGTGTTGGGTTAAAGGTGTGCACCACCATGCCTGTTTTATGCAGTGCTGGGGATCAAACCCAGGGTCCTGTGCATGCTAGGCAAGCACTCTGCCAGGTCTTCTGGGTGTGTCACCTTTCTTGTCAATCCAGGGTATTTCTGAGTAAGTCGCTCTGGCGGCCCTGCCTCTTGTTCTCCAGGCTTCCCTTCCTTGGAAGCTGAAACTGTGGCTGAAAGATTGCATCCTGATTAATGTTTTTCTCTGAGCTCTTCTAATGGGGTATCCTCTCTGCTGTCTGCCTGTCAGAGCCTGTGTCCCCTGTTCCCTCTGTCCTTTCTTGCCAGTGATGGTGAAAGCCTGCCTGTCTGGTGTTCCTTCTGGGTCATTTCACAGCTGTTTGGTCCCTGATCCACACTCCCAGAAGCACAGTACTGGGCCCGAGTCTTCCCTATCAGTGCCTGCTGAAGTCAACAGGGTGGAGTGGGTAGAGTTCCTAGGTGGTATTTATCCTTGGTGATGCTCATGGACCCCAGGGAGCCTCTGCCAGTGAGTGCCAGCATACATCTGGGTTAGGATGGGGTCTGAGCTCTGTGTACAGGCTGCTGTCCCCTCACAGACTGCCTGCCTTGCGTGTCCACCATTCATACTTACCTTCTCATTGTTTTCATCCCCAGGCCATCTTCACCCTCCTCCTGGGACCTTTCACCTTCTTCGATGTCCAAAAGACTAAGTATCTGCAGATCTTGACCTCTCTGATGAGATGGATTGGTGAGTCTGAGAAATATACCGATTGTGCACCCTCCACCACTGCCCAGAGGCCAGGCACACTCCCATCTGGGATGTGGAAGTGGCTTCCATTCAGTTGGCCAGCCTTAGTCCTCTGACCTTTCCAGAGGGTGAGCCTTTTACTGCTGGGGAAATTTAGTACCAAAAAGATGAGTGACTTTTTCCAGGTCACATTGAGCAGGTAGAACTGGGCTAGGACCTAGCCTGCTAATTCTGGGTCCAGCCTCCTTCACATGACCATGCTAGGTCAGGCTGCGCCCCCTGGAAGGGACAGGAACAGTATTATTCTGCCTTCTCTGGAGTGTACTTTGTGGCACAACCATAAAATCCAGTGGGCTGTGGCAGCAGCCACTCTCAGCCTCAGAGTCCTGGACCACCAGGGTATGAAAAGACACACACCGTGTACTCTAGCTTCGAACTAACTTATGCTTGCTGGGTGACAACACTGATGTCCTCCAGTAGATGGTGGGGGTCTCTTCCCTGCTAAACTGGGTTGACAGTGAAGAGCAAGTCACTTCCACCCCACCATCCTGCCAGCCACCTCAGGAAAGGGGCCAGCTACTGATGCACCTGAACTGACAGCAGGAAGGGGCAGGGATGCTGGTGCCCGTGTGCCCCAGCCATCTGTTCTGTACTTGTTTTACTCAGTATAAAAGCAAAAAAGAGGACTGGGGATGGAACTTAGTAGAGGGCTTGTCTAGAATGCATGAAGCCCTGGGTTTGGTCTCCAACACCAAATAAAACCAGATGTGATGGCACACACCTGTAATCTCAGCACTCGGGAGGTAGAGGCAGGAAGTGCAAAACGAGAAGGTTCAATGTCATTTTCAGCTATACAGTGAGTTCAAGGCCAGCCTGGGCTACATAAGAGCCTGTCTCAAAAAAAAAACAAACCACACACACACACACAAGGGGCTGGGGAGATGGCTCAGGGAATAAAATGCTTACTAGTAAACGCAGTCTCAACTTGGGGAGGCAGACAAGCAGATCCTTGGAGTTTGCTGACCAGCCAGCAGTGAACCCGTGAGCTCCAGGTTCAGTGAGAGTCCCTGTCTCAAAAATAAGGTGGGAACCAGCTGAGGAAGACACCGGCCTCTGGCCTCCATACTTGAACACACACACTAAATGAATAAATAAAAGTGGAAGGGCTGAGAGTGCAGCTGGGGTAGAGCATCTGCCTAGTGTGTATAATAGGCATAGAGCCTTGGGTTTGACATCCAGTACCACGAAGGGAAAAAAGAGGCTGTTGCTCTTCTCATAGAGGGGCCTGGGCCAGCGAGTGTCCAGCCTCTAGGAACTCCCCATCCCCTGAGTTGAGTTCCTTCTTCCTGACTACCCCTTCCTTCCCGCATCAGGACTACGGGTGCGGGTTGTTCCTGATTCCATGCTATGACCCCGAAGTAGATGATGATCGTGCTGAGGACTGTTCCAGAAGTTCTAGCTTTTCCAAGCTTGTGGTTCCTTTAGCTCAGTGCAGGGAGCCCCGGGAGTCTTCCTCAGTGCGAAGGGGTTGTCCTCTCAGATTCCCTGGCCTGCCTCTGCCAGAGCAGGCTCTGCGGCATGGGGCTGGGGCCTCCCCAACCCAAGAGCTCAGGATGGACTGGGCTCTGGCTCTGCTGAGAGGATGTAGATGTAGTTGTATGTCCGTGCTGTCTTTGCCAATAATTTGGTCCTTGCAGTGAGCTGACCTGGCCAGTCTGTACCTTCATCTGTCCTTGTACGGAAATGAAAGCAGGACCCAAATCAGTTAGAAGGTGTTTATGAGGTCCCAACCGGAGCATGACCTCTGGGGTGTGAGTGGACAGGTCTCTGTCATGGAGGAACACATCTTTCCCTATCTGGCCATCTCAAGGGAGCAGGAAGACACCTATCCTACCCAGCAGGGCAGAATTCCTGGTCTGCCCCACCCACGGGCCTAGTTATAGATTTACCAACAGGGTACTGTTTCCCATAGTTATCCTCAGGGTCATACTGTAGGGCCCTGTGTTAGCACAAGGGCCAACATCAGTCCCCCACTCTTATTTCTTGACTTTCATGACGTGTGAGAGCTCCACTTTTCTTAGAGAGCAGTATTCTCCCTCCACACCTCCCCAGCCTAACCCCATTGCCCAGCGCCTTTCATCCCTGCCTGACCCCATTGCCCAGCGCCTTTCAGCCTGCAGCAGGATCAGCAAGTCTGGCCCCTGCCCTTCTGGTGCTTGCCTGTCCTTGACCTCAGCTGAGCTGCTCATTTCTTTCTATGGCTGGGATGACATTAGCAGGTGTTGGGGCTGGGAGAGAGTGTTTTGGCCAGCATGATGGATTCCTGTCAGCCGACAAGGCGACACCTGCTCCAGTAACGATAGCTAACAACGTACCTGCTTGGAGCACAGCAAATTCCTTTCTGGGTCTGGCATGCAAGGTATCGAGTTAGAGGGAAGCTTGAACCCACTGTACTGGCGCACATTTGTAGTCCCAGCACTTGGAGGTAGAGGCAGGCGAATCAGGAGTTCAAAGTCAGCTTGAACTACAGGAAACCCTGTCTCAAAAAACCAAAGAAGGAAAAGAAAAAAAGGGGTGGGGGGTAGGAACCGGGGCTTGGGAAAAAGAAAGGAAGAGGTTAACAGCAAGTAGATGTCTCAGAATTAGCAGAATTGGGTCAGAGTTGGAGTTGAGCTTCTGGTGCCAATAAGCTCAAGATCTTGGAAAGCCACTGCCAACCAGCCTCTGCTTCCTTTCCATTCTAGCCCTAGAATCTGACCAGACACCTAGGTGTGCTATGGCAATGACTCAGCAGGAAAAAGCACTTGCCATCTGAGCCTGATGACCTAAGTTCAGAACCCACATACAAGCCAGACACAGTATCGCAGGCATCTGTCATCCCAGCTCTCACGGGGAGGTGGGAGGCAGAGACAGGACAGTCTCCTGAAACTCCAGGCTACCACGTGCCACAGTGAACAAAAGAGAGTGTCTCAAAACAAGTAGATGGCAAGGACCAGCACCCAAGGTCAGCCTCTGATGGTCACTCACATGAATAAGGAGAGAGAGAGAGATTAAGAAAGAAGAAAGTTCAAGGCTGGCCTTAGGTATATAGTAAGACCGTATTGGAGGTGCCATCTAACCTCTTTCCTCCTACCAGACAGAAGAGCCCCTCCACCATCCCCACCTGGCTTCAGGGCCAGGTAACAGTGGCCCTGGGAGGCTCCCTGGGCCTCGTGGGAGCCTGAGTAGAGAACAGCTTCTGAAGGTCATCTTAGCAACACTACTGACAAGACACATTGTCTCTGCACCGTGTGCCTCTCTTCTCCCTTGGATCTGAGAGATAATCAAATGTCAGGAAGCCCTGGGCGAACTGCTGTGGGTGACTGAGGCACAAGGCAGTCGTTTTTCTCCATGAGAGGCTCAGACCTCTGGGCTTAAAAAGCAGGCCTCCCTCCTGGTGACAGAGCCGCCCAATAAAAGGAAAACTGCCATTAAGTAAACTAGACTGTAGTGAGCCAGGGTTCAGCTCCCAGCTGGGTGGGGGATCATCCCTGTGTGGTTTCTTCTCAGCTAGGAGCAGGCTTTTTCCTCCTCTTAACCCCAGGTCTTGCTCTAAGGAGGGGAGCTAGGAAGTGGAACTCCTGGAATTCCCCAGAGACCTCCATATCCAAGTCTGCCTGCCGACTCAAACCCTGGCCTGCACTAAGGATGTCTCTCCTCTGGGCCAAGCTCACCCCAGTTTTTCTAGGACACCCTACAGGCAGTGATCTCAGAAATCCCATTTGTCCTCACAAACCTCTGCCAAGTTGTCATTCTGCCTCTGAAAAGCAGCTGTGCTGCCCATCCCCCACAGGACCCTCCTATCCTCCTTCCCACCCTCCTCCTCCTTCCCACCCTCCTCCTCCCTCCTTCCCACCCTCCTCCTGACACACACTCTTTCTCTCCCCTCTCCCCAGATGAGGGCCATGCTTTTTCAAGAGCCAAGCAGGGAGCTGAGGGTGGTAATGAACTGGCTGGGGTTCCAGGAAGACAAAGGGGGAGAATGAGCACCAGAGGGACCGGAAAATCACGAATAAATGTTCTGAGCTGGAAACTTTCTCAGGCTTAATTAGGAATTTGTTCTGCCATCTGTTGAGATGAGGCCAAGGTCGATCACAAGCCCCCAGAGCTATGCCTAGGAGCCTCAGGTCTGTTCCTTAGAGGATTTTTGCTCTGCCCTTCCCCACTTCTTAGCCCCTAAGGCTCCTTGTGCTTCCCGATGGAATTTGAAGGGTTAAATGGCCTTTGCAAGTAGCCAGTTGTCCAGGGACAGTGTCAGAATACAGGTGACACATGCCGAGGTGGATTCAGGATTCGCCCCAGGCTGATCAATTTGAAATGCCTGTTTGCTATCTCCAGTGGGGAAGACCTCGCTGCCAGTGCCTTGGTCTCCGAGTTCAGATCAGCCCACACGAGCCTGTGTACAGGGATTTGGCTTGTCACACCTCACCTTCTTGGCTCATTCCTTTTTATGTGGGTGTCATTTCCCACAGTACACAGATGAACCAAGCGCCCCCCTCCTCACTGAGGGCTGTGAGGATATGAGGCTTGTCACACCTCACCTTCTTGGCTCATTCCTTTTTATGTGGGTGTCATCTCCCACAGTACACAGATGAACCAAGCACCCCCCTCCTCACTGAGGGCTGTGAGGATATGGTGAGATCAAGTGGAAGGCACTTAGTAGCACCGTGCCCCATACCTGTTCAGCACTCAGACGTGAGTGTCACTCTCAGTGCCATTACAGCCAGCTGTCCCATCCTGAGAGTAGCCTCAGAATAAACTTCCCTTGAGGTCAGGCTACGAGGTCAGGGCCATCACCTCAGCCATGTCTAGAAAGAACTGTGATGCTGGTTGTCCACAAATGGATCTATACCATCCCCTCTCCCCACACCCTGCCCTGCACCCCAGCCTCCACCCCTACCAACTTCTGGGAAGCTCAGCCTAAGAAAAGTGAACAGACTCATCCATGTTATTGAGGTGTG